AACGCACAGCACGTGGCGATATGGCGTTTATTGTAAGTCCTGTTAACAAAACACAGCACACCACAGGTGTTAACATCAATCAATATTTACGTATTAAGTGGAAAGTCCCGTTTAGCCAGTTACCCAGCTAGTTTGCAAGGGAGGTCAATTTAACCTTATGGCGGGACCCCGGGGTCCCGAATAAACGAAAGTCAAAATCGCAATTACTGTGCATTTATTTTCAGCGACTCCGTCCCACCGCGTACATTAACGTCGCGACCCACGTGGCGCGGATCGTTTTGTCGTGTCGTGTTGTGTCCAAGCGCAGCAGCGAGGACGAATGCGCAGAAGAAACACAACTTTGAAACTTTGTATTCTTGGTTCTTTCGGTGAAGTCACGTAGAAGGGAAATAATAAAAAAAAAATGAAAACATTAAAAAAAATTCTCACAGTGAGAATTATTTGATTATGTTTTATTTTTATTATTTTATTATTTCCATTCTACGTGACTTTACCGAAAGAACCACGAAGATGAATCCCTGCAGTCACGAAAGCTTTAAATCGAAATATACTAAAAATTCTCACGACGTTTTGGCCACAACGCAAGCAGCCGTCCTCAGGTGAAGAACAGAGTTGTCGGAAAGACAGCACAATAAGGACGCTGTTTTTCCGACAGCTCTGTTCTTCATCTGAGGACGGCTGCTTGTGTTGTGGCCGAAACGTCGTGAGCATTTTTATTATTTCATTATTTCCCTTCTACGTGACTTCACCGAAGGAACCTAGAATATCAATCCCTGCAGTCACGAAAGCTTTACATCTAAATTTGAAACTTTGATTAGCGCATCGTGTTGAGCTCGTCGAGAGGAATAGATTTTGCCGTATCGTTCGCCTGCAACAGACATAAAATAACGTCGCAACGCAGTTTATGCGAGAGCCGGGGGCTTACGGGACCCCGGGGTGCTGCCATAAGGTTCAGCTGTGCATCAGCACAGAAGACAAACAGCAACGTAAAGAGGCCAGTCAACAATGGGACATTCAGTCATAGCGTTTAAATCAGGTGGGGTCCGCTTTTGCTTGCAAAAAGTCTTTTAGCGGAGTAAATCCAACCACTTCATGCTGTGACCAGCGCAGCGTGCCGTATGTCCCTCCGTGCAAATCCACCAATAATCACTCTTCACCTCGGCGCTGCATGGCCAGATGCCAGTTTAACTAACCAACCGCATGCCCTCCCTCCTCCCACACTTCATCTTGCCTGCAAGCCGCCTTCCTCACTTTCCAAGCACATCTTCCCGTGCGCCAAACCCACGGGCAAACATTAATGACAAGGCCACCCATCATGGGTTAAGTGTAAAGGGCACGTACGTTTACCTCCATATGTAAGAACACAAACCGTCAAGGAGAGGAAAATGTGCCGCGCGCGTCGTTGTATCGCTCACATTCAACGGGTTTATAAAAGCGGTCATTTTCCAATTGCCGCTTATGAAGTAACCGTCAAACGCTGCCAGGTATCCTAATGCAATTCGAACAACAATAAATGCAAGTTCGTTTTATTTTCCGAAAGAGATACGTGGAATATGGGGCGTTAAAGTTGCGTTTTAACGGCACTACCTTGAATGTTTTTTTTTCCATAATGATAAGTTGCGTATGCATCGCATGCAATGAGTTTTTTTTTCTTCTTTCCACGCCCCCTCCCTTGTGTTCTTGCGAGATCAAACGCACCGAACAGCTGAAAGACCAAAGAGACAGATTTTGTGTGCGTGTGTTGTGTTGTCATGGTCACTTATGTACAGCTGCGTGTACAGACTTCTGGGTAATTGTCAGCTCCTTTTTGTACAATTGTGCGTGAGTGTCGAAAGGCAAAGGTCCTCCCGCTGAGTTGTGTGTTTATCCCAGTAGTGCTTATTGAATCGTGCGTCGGCATTATAACAGCAGCCCACGTAATTAGATTGGTTCATTTCAGTCTGTAATTACAAGCACACACGGGATAATCCCCTGCCTGATTGCTACGCACACCGGGCATGCATCGCATCGGGAACAGAGCGGGAACTTGGAGATTTTTAACCCGATTTATTACCAATGCCTAAACGGTTTAGGGCAGCATGAAAATCCTCACTAGGGGATCGCAAATGAGGGCCCGAGCCTTGGTTTAAAGCTACATTCTCACAGGGCCGAGCGATTGTAATATCAAATAATGGGAAGTAAACCCTGATTCGCATTGTTGTTGTTGTTGTTATTATTATTGATAATACTATCGGTTACCTTTTTTTCCCGTTACAAAATGAAACATCCGTGAAAAAACTATGGCCTTCGTTGGCCACTTGCCATCATGACGCATTGTTTGCATGTAATTGAAAACAGGTAGGGATGTTGGGTGGGTGTGAGTGAGTGAGTGAGTTGTTGTTGTTTACTGATGTGCATCCTCCACACTGCTTGGACAAGTTAATGGGTTGTATATTGGATGTACAAGACCGGGGGCATGAACCGTGGCCCAATCATGGAAAAAAATGTTCTTTAAAAATATCGGCCAAGGGCACTTGTTTGCCAAATACAGGCACTTTTATTTCAAAATATATTCATAGTTCGTGATAACATGCAAGGGTACAATATTTTTCTTCCGCCACTGCTGGCAGAAGGGCCTCAACTAGAATGAACCTATCCCAATACCTCTTGGGATAGGTGGGAGAACCCACACTTTACCCCACCACACGTGGCCTGCAGATCAACTATTTATAGGACATTAGTGAATATAAGAGCATACACTTAAAATGTAGGAGCCAAACTTCAACATATAGGCAGGTAACAATATAGTTAACTTACACGATGCCAAACATGCATGTCTTCATGACTAACTCAGTGGACATTGATGCAGTTTGTCATGCTCTCATAACAACAATTATTTATTACATGAAGAAACTTAAGAAGTAAAATAGGGTTGCGTGAAGAAAGTAAAATCAAAATTTATGAAGAGAATCGGACACTTTTTTTTCCAAAGATTTTCATAGAAACGTTAAAATATATTTTCCCCATAATGTATATGTGAGAAAAGTAATGTAATCAGTATGAATGCTTACATGAATAGCCATTTTGTAAATTCATAATTCGTTTATTTTTGGTTCGATTATTTAGATCTAGTGTCAGTTCTTAACTATAGATTTCAGATTGGAGATTGGCAATTATTGTTCTAAAATGCAATGCATATGCGCGTGTAGGTTATTTTGTTTGGTAGATATTGTGATGTACACTCCCCCCACCCCCACCCCTTTCTTCCTTTACTTTAGTTCCTCTTGCCTTGTCCTCCCTTCCCAATATAACAATTTTTTATTTGACCAGGTAAGGCCCACTGAGCTATGTAGCTTTTTTTCAGAAGTGACCTGGCCACAAATGATAGCTCAACGAAGTGGCTTATCATGCGGAAATGTATAGCAGGCAAATACTCTAAATGCGTGATGTTGATTTTAAATGTGGAGGGAAAACCCAGAGGACACGGAGAAAAATCCACGTGACCATGGGAAGAACATGCAACCTCCAAATGTACAGGCATCGTCAGGGTCGGGATTGAACCCGTGTCCTCCCGTGTGCCAGGCGAGGTAGTTAACATCTCGTCACACACAGTGCCCACGTGCGAGGGACCAGTGAGCTCAATCTCCTCCTCTTAGAACCCAAGAGCACTGAGTTCGGACCTCGGTCTGCGGAATTTCTGTAGCGCCCAGACCCCCCCGTCTTGTACCCGGCTCGTGTCGAATTGAGACGTAACCAAATCAATAAAACGCAATGGATATGAACTACGCAAAATGATAGGACTACATAAACAAGGCTGGTTAGCGGGGCTCAGAATACATAAGAGAGAGAAACAAAAGTCACGCATCACAAGTTCATCCAAACGATTGAAGCTGTTATTCAGCAGAACACAAGTGTAAAAACACACATCAGTGTGCATAGCTAGGGCAGTTACTGAATGAGAACCAGGATCAAAACGATGACAGGCGGATGAGAGTATATAGGAGTGCTTTTGTAAAAAAAAAACTGAAAATATCGTTTTGCCTAGGAAAACGTTTTTGATCAGTATATGTTACCTGCTATAACAATGTGCATTGTTTGGCAAAGGAAGTATAGGCAACGACAGATACATTGGAAAAAAATCTAAGAAAAGCTTTAAATTGCACAAAGATGTATGGAGAGGTATATTGTTGCAATTACTGTACTTTTAATGTTTTCATTCATTTTTAGCCTATGCACAAAAGTTTAACAATAACATTTTATATTTCACGAGCACATTCCTCTGCCTCTGCAGGCAAACAACCTGTTTTGAAGCCCAAATAGAGCCTTTCAATAAGCTTTCTTTGACATTACCTCCTATGCTGCAAGGTTTGTAAAAAAAAAAATAATCTTCCCATTGTTCTCCACTCGGCCATGCCAGAAGGTCTAAATTTACATTATTTTGAGCCCGTTTCACATACCTTTGAGTCTGCAATCAACCTCCGCCCCTCTCCTGGACCCCCTTGGGCCCACAGGTAGAAGTCTGGCTACTGGGTAATTGGGCCCTGATGGGTGGGGTTTTTTTGGGCCCTTGGTCTGGCCCCCGCACTCATCATCTCACGGAGTGGTGGGGAGGCCTTTTGCAGCCTTTGCTCGCTGTGGGCCCTGGAGTGTTGGGCCCTTTGCCATGGTGTTTCTGGCATTAATGGACAGCCGCGGTCAGCACATCACTGGACATAATGGGGAAGTCTGGCGGGATGGGTCTGCACCGCGGGTTACTCAGCCAGTTCTGTCGAAGTCACTCAAAAACCATTAACTGGATTATGCATGAGATCACTTGTCTCAGCCATATTCTTCCCCCTCATGCTCGCCATGATGGTTATCTGCCAAACCAACCTATCCTCAGCTAATAGGATACGAACAGAAAGGTATTGACCCCTGTATCGGCCTGTGCACTCACCCCGCTGTTTGCTGTATTTTCAGCAAAAAATACTTCGTTGTAGCATTTATGCAAATTAATTTGTGAACAGCGCTCAATCTGATGTTGTAAGTTTGAAACATAAATCTGCCATGAACTTGACAAGGGATGTGCTCACAGCTGCCACTTAAGGAACAGCATGGGCATGCTTGTGTCATGTGACCTGGATTTTTTGTTATTTTTCGCAGGTGCTGGTCAGTGAAGGCAGGGGATGGTATCTGGGTTGGGAGCGGGGCATGTAGCTCCACCGGTGTTGGTGTTTGGATGCAAGGAGGAGCAGGGTGGGTTGAATGTTGTTTTGTTGAGTGCTCATCGATTGCCTGTGTTTCCTGCAGGCCGCACGCATATGTCTCTGTCGCAACCCATCGATCCCCAGGCAGTTAGAACAATAACAGCCAAGCCTGAGACACCGTGCATTATATACCAATTTACCCACTGCCAGGGGCTCTGGGTGGGCCATTAGGGCGTCATTCATACATTTCAAGAGGAACTCACGACTTGACAATTTACCTTTTGTTCAATCAGCCAGCATTTATTGATGGCTTTCATAAGAGGATATTTGGGGATTACTACTGTAATCTCTCGTCCCGAGGATTGAAAACTGCACGCTGTTGAAGCCGCTGCTGATTCTGTTATTGTTGATGTTGATGGGTTATTGTCTTTCCTGAGTCATAACACTTAAGCGTGTAATGTCGCATTTCAAGCTGGGAGCAAATTGAGCATCGCTATCTGATGACTGCAAATATCAGCAAATAAAACATTCTCGGCAAAAAATTGCATATTATGATCATTTTGTAATAATTGTGTTTATATAATGATTTTCATTAGTCGGGCTCGTGAGCAAAACTTTTCCCGTCTAATAATAGGCTGAACAAATGTGGTGTTTAGACTTGAACATAATAAAGCAATAACTCAAACATCCACATCGTGCATTTTAAATTGCAAATCACAAAAAATCCCATTACAGCAAGCCCCAAAATTACACTGTCAGTTACTGATGAGTATACATAGTGTGCACAGCATGCAAATCCTATTCCAGAAGCTGATAGTTATTTAGCTGCCTTTTGCAAATCTGCCACCTTACTGTTTCCATGGCTTCTATTGGCTGCACATCGCTTGTAGGGGTATATCAGCAATAAAAGAAAGGACATGAGCAGGGTTGGCAGGTTTAATACATTTTTGTCCACAGTATCACTAAAATGCAATAAGGTTACTGTGCCTTTGTGTGTGTGGCGAAGCATTTCAGGTCGAGTGCAGCTTTTGGTGGAAAGGGCCATTTTAGGCAGGATAGTAGCAAAGAGGGTTTTAATTGGCCTTGATAGGATGTCTCATTGATTCGCGTCATGTGAGAAGCGCCAGCATTGCTTCTTGCCCTGCCCCTAGGCCAATGAGGTCATACCACAGGTCAGGCCTCTTCCCCAACGACAGATCGGCCGTATTGGCAAAGCGCCAAAGCGCTGACACATGCACACACTGATAAACGCGCGCTCGTGCAACGACGCACGTGCTGTCGGGAGACGAGCCAGTCAACCCCTGGAAGCAGTGGAGTCACCAACCGTATGTTCACACTGCTGCATGATGCCCCGTTGGGTGACAGCTTTGCCCTCAAATTACAACGGTGCAAAATGAACGGTGTTTATTCTTTGTTTTGCTTTTCACCCCCCCGCCCCTGCCCCCACCCCCGCCCGCCTGTCTCACGGCAAACCTAGGAAATAGTGTAGAATGTTATAATCGCAGCGTATCCTCATCCCTGAATGACCTAACTCGCCTCTAACCATAATGGGATGAGCATATGAGTCACCGAAATAGCATGAAAAGCAACTGTACAATTATACCTTAAGGTATTATTGATTCATAAATATGAGTCTTTTTTATCAATAAATCTTTATCACAAAAAATAGCACCCACACGTTTCCCTTTGGTATTTGTGATTTTTTTTAAATTATCAAAAAACATGCTTTAAGCATTCAGCCTTACACTTTTCTGCTCCATATTTTTTTGATGAGTGTTTGGGCCCAGTGTTTGCACTGAGGATATTAAAGTCTTTGTTACGCAGTTGACATTAAGGATGTTTAAGGTGTCCGCTTTAATATGTCATAGCATTTAAAAGTTTTCATTAAAAATACCACGATTCAATCCTTAAATGTTGGCAGCTTAAAAAGCATTTGGTAAAGCCCTGCTTATTGGAAACTAATTTGTGCTCGAAGTTGAGCGTATTATGCATTGTTTTCATCACGGTCACTGAGTCTTTTTCGATACATTTGCATTGCTTAGTGTAGTGGACAATGGAGCCTCCTTTAATTAAATACAATTACAATGACACAACTTTGTCCTGGTTAGTTGTTAACAGCCACGCCGTGCTAATACTAATTAGCCGTGGCATCGTCTCATGTGCAAATACGTTTGGCCAACACAACACTCACCGCTATGAAAGCATTGCAGCATTCAATTAATAATCCACCACATGAGGTGAGGTGCGGTTTTTCTTTCGCACAATATCACTTTGGTGCCCGTTTCAGCTGTGATATGATTAATTTCGTGTCTCCACAGATTTTTAGTGTTACAGTGAATGCATCGGTCCAGAATAAGAGTGTGATCATTTGGAAGGTAATTTTTTTGGTATTTGTAAATGTTTGTCACGAGGCTTTTCAAATCCTGCTTTCAAACATACGGGTTGTCTCTTATCACACATGTATACATATTCCCACATAGGAGAACATTTACATGAAAATCACCATCGCAAAGTTGCTACTTTTTCTACAAAATATCATCAAATATACTTGTGATTTTATGATTAGTCACAATTGTAGGATGATATTGTATTAATGGCTTAATTCTATTTTACATTTTAATGGCATTTAAAAAAACGTGTGCCTCGTTTTTCCAATTGTGCTCAATAAATTAGCAAACACTTTCCATATGAATTGTACATCGCCGATTTTTTTCACTGTAAGAACAATCAACTTTTAATCGAGGATTCAATCAATCATTACATAACTAGAATTAGTAAAATCATCATCGTTCATCACCTTCAATCCATCCGCTGGTGGATAAAGGCCTCCGCCCTTCCTCGTGATCCCACCACCTGAGCACATAAACAAACCGTGTTAAAATTATTACGTGCAAGTGACAGCCGAAAGTGATGGCTCCTACTTTTAGTTTCGTCTCAGCAAGCCTTTGTTGTTTCCTTATAAATTGTTCACACACACACATTGCTTTGAGACTCTGGCAAATGAGGACAGACACTTATATGGCAGAAATTATCATCCAACACAGCAATGCTAGAATACACATAAGATCAAGAACTGCCAAGGTAATTGCACCATTTAGGTGGCTTGTGCTGCCCCATCCATCGTACAGCACAAATCTAGAATCAAACAGATTTTCATGTTTTTCAGCTTTTTGAAGGGCCACCTAATGACCTACATGTGTAGCATTTTTAAAATAACACATATACAGAATGTTGTTCACAAATAGTTAAGCGGAGCTGATTAAACCTTTGATTGTATTTGAATGCTGGCCATGGGTCTATATAAGCACATGGAAAAGCATTAAGACTAGAAAAAAATGTCAGTGTTTGTGACACTGAACGAAGTTAGAGATATACTAGTTAGTAATAAAGGCAAATGTTCTTTAGGCAGGGTTGATGGCTGTTGGTCAAGTGACATCATGCAATGGCCAAGTGGACATCTACTGCAGTGACGAGATCATCCCATATACAGGGGTTATAAGGATCTATTTCACTGTGAGATCACGAGAGATGGCAATGACTTAGCAAGGCCTTCATCCAGCAGTGCATGGATCACGGTTTTGTGATGATAATGAACTGATAGAATGCATTATATTACGTATAAGCACAGTTATAATACATTGATCCTGGGAGGACGTCTTTGCAATGCGAACATTGTGTATTCTATGGGTTTTTATTACATGACATCATCACAGTAATGTCAACTCCGTGGACACATGGATTAATTAACCACTTAACCTCCCTGTGGGTGCAGAACATGTCACCCCCAGTTTGACCTGCCAATGTGACAATTTGATGGGCATGTCCCCGAATGTGCAATACTGGGATGTCAACGTAAAATAAATTAAAATCATCTTGACTTAAAATTAAAATAATAATTTACAGACCTTTTTGTAAAATCACTCCTGGATGATGGCAGACTTCCCTCGCCATATCAGTCATGGGGGATGTTCATTTGACCAGACTTCGCAATTCTGGTCAGTGGTTATAGGTGAAGTTAGAGAGAGATGGGGCAGGTGGGGAGGGAGGGAAGGGCGAGGGGGCGTGGGGGGGGGGCAGAGATTGAGGGGGGGGGGGAGTCAGAAGTGGGGAGGCAGTAGGACTGGTTTAGATATCACACATCACTAATGTGATGTTCATCGTGGCCAGGAATCGAATTCAGGTTAATAGCGCAGTTCTCGAGCCATTGAACTTCCGTGTGGTATAAACACAGCACTTAATTAAGCTGTTGTTGCTGTAATGATAGCATACTGATAGCAGCAAATAAACTGGAATGAAACAAATAAGCTGGAATTATCTTTTCATCAAAATCACAAAGGGACTCAAAATATTGACTTACTGGTCGTTTATGTTTTTCACAATGGAGACCACCGAGCTGAGATGTCCATTCTTTATTTTATATTTAAAAAGTACATCTTTCAAAGAATCACACTTAATAATTCTATATTTACACTCATATGCACGTGTGGCTTAAAAAACATGTATTGGATTTAAAAAAATCCTTTTGACAATAAAATATAATGTATAATATATGGTTTCCTTTCACATGGTCGGCGTTGCATGCTGCTTTTGTATTTAGCTCGTGTGTGTACGTATGCTGAACTTCATTCGCATCGCAAATAGCCAACTGTGCTAATCGGAGGTGTTGGGGAAAGACAAGAAACTAAACACAACAAAAACAAATGAGTTTTCAATGTGGATGATTTAAAAGTGCCTAGCTCCAGTTGATTTTGAATATCGAAAGGAAGAGCATTCCAGACGGCCGCTCTTGCGCAAGCTTTGCTAAATCTCTTCATTGTTGGAGATGAGGGGACGGAATCTTACCATTTTATAGTGTCCCAAGAAAAATGTGCAATTCTTACCACAAGCGCACCTCCCATCCGACGCCCATAAGATCTGACCCCCCCAGAGCCACACGCGGTGATTAATGTCCGCATTAAGAAATTCGTTAAATTACAATACAGAGGGGCGGGTGCCCCGGAAGCTCACGATAGCTCATACAGACATGCGGGGAGCCAGATGATGAATGGCCTGCTGCACTCCGTGTGTTCCCCTCCCCATCGCGTTGCCGCACACACTCTGCACTTCGCCTCAGACTGAATAATGGGTTTAATTGTGTGAGGAGGGGATGGTGTTCATTTTGGTGGGCAATTTTTGTAATGCCGTGGAGGATCTTACAGCGGTGACACAAAAATTGCTTAATAATTTATCGTGGAAAAGGGAGAAAAAAACAAGCCCAATATTGCAGTAATTTTGGAGGTGATCGTACCTATTATTTATTTAGTTTTGGTATATTTACTGGTCTTCAAGTGGCTTTGCAATGTTTCTAAACGCAATATATTTGAACCAGATTAGTGTGTTTATTATTATTATCATCTCAATATGTATTTTCTGCTGTTTATGAATGTGTGTATATGTTTTACATGCGTTAAATTAGACCCCCCCCCCCCCCAACACCAATTCTGTACCATTGTAACCTTTAGGTGTGAGTAACGATTTTAATTGTGCTGAGCAATAAAAATTCTCATTTTATCATAGGTCTTTAAAAATGAAACACAGCATTATTAAAGAATCATTTGTTTAGGCTCTCACAATATGGACACAGAAATATATTACCTACATTACCAAGATTCAAAATGGTTCTTTACCTTTCTTATTTTCATTTCGAATGTTATTAAACCCCGGCTATTTTAAACACACAAGAGTTACAATACACTGGCATTGCGAATTTTTTCATCGCAGCCTCATCACAATATTACCTGTACAGTTTTAAGTCAAAATTACCTGTACAGCTTCCCGCCAACAACAAAACTTGCAACTATGCAGCCCCCCGAAGTGACAAAACGTATGGGGTGCAGGAATGGGCGCTGCAATGACAAACAGACAGGCACATAGCGGGGTCCAGACAGAACGTCAAACTCGCATGCTTGGCTACTCGGTCGACAGTGACGGGCAAATACTTTCCCGCAAAAATAGGTCTTGTACCGCAGAATTCATTGTTGAATGTAGACAGCTTGATAGCGGTTGAAACTTTATAAAAAAAATATATGTAGCCACTTGTTCCATTTCATGTCCCTTTGATCTAAGAAAAAAAAAAGCAATGTAATACAGTTTCAGCTCCCCGAACGACCACAATGCAGATTGATATGCTCAGTGACACTGCAATATAAAAGTAATGTGGTGTGTTCCGCTTGGCTTTGATCTGGGTGACCTCAGCAGCATCCGCCGAACTGTATTTTATCGTTGCCAGCTCTCCTTCGCTCAATGGAAGACGCAAGCAGGACCACTTGCCAGTCTGTAAGCCTCAAAACGAAATTCACACCCCCCCCCGCCCCCTCTCCCCCGTGCGAGCGCTGTGATGTGATGAAAACCAAAGCCAAACGCGCAGGACGCGCTCGGTTGACCCCTCGGCAGCGAGACCGTTATCGCAGATGTCATCGCGCTCCGGTCAGATAAAAATGTCAGCAACTTTTCAAAGTCCTGGAACATTTTTTTGATGTGCTCTGTAATGATGCATAATGCCTGTAATTTGTTTGGAGGATGGGTGGGGGGGCGGATAAGAGTGGAAAAAGGAAAGCATCTCGCTGGAAGTGCATGCACGAAGACTCAGCTCGCCCGTGTAGCCTTAACAAGACTTTTCGATTTAAAGCTTTCGTGACTGCAGGGATTCATCTTCTTGGTTCTTGGTTCTTTCGGTGTCTGAAGATGCTGTCTCCCCGACAGACATGTTCTTCACCTGAGGACGGCTGCTTGCGTTGTGGCCGAAACGTCGTGAGAATTCTTTTATTATGTTTAATTTTAATTATTTTATTATTTCCCTTCTACATGACTTTACCGACAGAACCAAGAAGACTTAACAAGACTGTCGGGGCGAGTGCTGTTCGCGATCACCTACGGAGGCCGGCACGGCACACAAAGAGGTTGTGTGGCCAGCACCATGCCCGGTCACCTTTGTCTCCCGAGTGGTGATGTTTACACGTTGCACCAAGTACCCATTTAAGGCCAAGTCGATCTATGGGATGCTACGGACTGGTTCGGATAATCGTCACCGTTGTTGATTATTAGTGGGTATTGAACATGGGTTTCTGGGTTCATTGGGCAGCGTGCTAACCGCTGCACTCCCACTCTCCACACAACATTAACACACACACACGCCATGCACGCAAAGTGTGCGTGTGTCCGTTTAAAATAGCAAATAGTTGCAAAATAAACACGTTATTAACGTGCAGCGAAATTTGCATTTCATTAAATGTATTGCCATAATTGTATTTTGTATCCCCACGTAATCAACACTATGGAAACAGCACTTTACATTTACGTGCCAGACCCATTGGTTACGAATGAATAATAAGTGACAATGCAGAAGCAGAGTTGACCTCAAGGACCTCTCCCCAATCGAGGTGTTATATCACGTCATTCTTACGTACGGACCAAGTTTATTTTAGATTGTCCTAATGTCCAGTCAGTAAGCCTTACCTTGGATATCCATATAGAGTGGTCTTTCACTCGACTATCTAGCAATTGTCTGCAGTGCCCTGCGCTTTAAGCTGCTTAGTGTTGTGCATGCCATATCAAGTGTAAGTAGAGAACAGTTTTAGCTGAAAATGGTTTTCATGCCTGGCTTATGTACACATATATTTTGGATGAGAGCACAATGCTCGTAGCATAATGGAATCAAACAACCACCAGAGGGGAATGAGTTGCAGTCGTGCCTCCATGGGCTGGATTTAAACGTAAGGTCTCCTGGGAAGTTAGGAAATCATGCTCTGGAACAAGAGGGGTAGCTCACTGAGGCATCCAACTGCAGTGTTTTGTACTTTAATTGCACGAAACGTGTATCCGTCGCCTCAAATACTGGCGTCAACATTTTAGTCACAAACAATGTGGATGTCATTCTAACTGTATTTTTTGCTTTGCTCTGGCAGAGAACGGTAATAGAATACTAACTTTCTCCCAGGCATTCCGCCAGCGTGAGAATCCGAAACTTCAAATAAGTCACCGCTAATCATCACTTTGGATAAACTACTCTACCGTTGGCCATACACATTTGTAAGACATTCTTTACGGAATAATACGTTTCCGTCGCTATTGATCCATCACGTGATGGCAACGTTTTGACACGGTTATTGAGAGCTCCTTTCTCGAGCGTTTTTGAAGGGACGCGATTGCATGCCTGAATCGTGAGAGCACGCCACTGTGTCGCTTTGTTCCCTCCATAATATATATAATATATGCATTGTAAGGGCAGCACATCACGCTCACGCATGACACGACTCGTGGGAAGATGTGTCTTGCCCGCAATCTCGTGGATGGCAAGTGATCGATGCCGTAGCATTGTGTCGACGGGAAGCCGCTGATTTATTTTTGGATGTCCTTTCTTTTTTAAACTGCGATTTGTGGTTCGGGTTTTTTTTTTTGAGCTGGAAAATAAAAATCACTCCGTCTTGTCAGAGGCCCCTTGCTCTTTTTTTTGCTGCACGGCTAATTTGTGCTGAGCCACAACCACTGCTGTTTGGGACACGCGCCAAAGCCATCAAATGAGTTCTTCGGAGCCACTGGGTGTTCAAGGCACATCCTGAACATGGGATATTTTTTCACCCCAAACACCCCTCCTCCCTTCGCAAAAATTTCGTTATCATGCTTCTTGATTCTTTGACTCTGAAAATTACAAAAACGTCTCTCGGCTGTTTCGGAGCAAATCTTTCTAGCCTGTCGCAATAGCTAAATAATCAGCTAATTTGCATTCTCATTACTTAGATGGAACTGTGTGCGTGTGTGTGTGTATATGCAACCAGCAAAACGGTTTACCCACAGCAAGGAAATGTTAAGGTGGTTTTTTTCTTCTTCTATTACGTACTTTTGAGTTCAAAATAATGTATTTCCATATTGTGTAACATCAACTGCTTTATACGACATGTGCAGATGTTTCATTAAAAATCGTGCATTAAGATGCATTTCGATAATTATTTCTTTTTTAAATACAGTTACACTGTATCTTGCCTTCGTCACTTAATGCGTTACCCTTATACACTGCCTCAGTGTTATCCTTATACACTGCCTCAGGCATAAGGATAACTCAGGCTAAGAGCCTGACCAGTTTCACCCCTGGTCTGAATTGGGCCAGTTATTCGTTAACTTATTCATTAACTGGGCCCATATTCCTGGTTCTTCACACCTGATGATGATTGTTTGCGTTGCAATCGAAACGTCGCGATAAGTTTATTGTTTTATTTTTATTATTATTTCCCTTCTACGTGACTTTACCGAAAGAACCAATAATATGAATACCTGCAGTCACGAAAGCTTTAAATGGAAATTGAACTGGGCTCAGTTATTCATCAACGTATTCATTAACTTGGGCCAGTAATTCGGACATTGTTTATGGACAGAGACTAACCCAGAATCCCTCAAAACGAGTCGTGAAAATTTTTTTTGTCGCTCTATCACAGAGCAGACGCCGCACTTCTTGACGAGCCATCGGAGACGTAATTTGTGCTCCAAATTGGGAGCGAGTGTCTCGATTAAGGTGGTTCTGGTTCAAGCAAAAAAAAAGGCAATTTATTTCAAAACATTGTTAGAATGCTATTCAAGATAAGATTACTTATTCACAAGTTTAGCGGTAATTACTCAATATGATGCTGGCAACACTAAGTTTAGATAGCAGAAAATACGTTTGGGGCACGTATTTAATGCGAGGTGGTATTTGGTAATGGATTTATGTATGTGGTCCAATATTTATACGTTTTAAGCAAAATTGTATTGATGCTATGTAACAATAATTACGAAATTATCATATATAGCATTTAACCATTTAAAAGTAATAACAGATTAAACTTTTCATGCTGGAAGCAGACGTGCCTTCATTATAACACAGGCTCCGATGTTCATCTCCTGCCATGACCACCTCGGGTTTGTCGCATTGCAAGTTGTGGTTCCCCCTCATTGGCGGAACAATGGTGAACCGTTTACGACTGAATTTCGATTTAAAGCTTTCGTGACTGCAGGGATTCATCTTCTTGGTTCTTCCGGTAAAATCACGTAGAAGGGAAGTAATTAAATAATACAAATAAAACATATTTTTTGTTTTATTTTTATTATTTTATCATGTTTTATTTTTATTATTTTAATATTTCCCTTCTACGTGACTTTACCGAAAGAACCAAGAAGACGTTTACGACTGGTTCGGAGGGCAGCTGGCCATGTATACACCCAGGGCTACAGCCACACTTTCAACCTTGGGGAAAGGGTGACATTCTGGTCGAGTATGGTTCAGAGACTTTCCGGCTGAGTCGAAAACCGATTCCCGAAGTCTTCCGCGGCCGCGAACACGCGGGCCTCCCACTCACTCTCTGTCGAGCTCTCTGTGAACCAAGGCCGTAATTATAATATATATTGGGGGGGGACACACACAGCACCCCCCCCCCCCCCCAATATTCAAATATGCTCAAAATGTCCCCCCCAATATATTGCTATAAAATAGATTTCTGGTTATATTATTGTGGTTATAGTTGTACTTTATTAATCCTTAATCTCTGCCATTACATACAACAAAACAAGAAAAGGTAAAAAATAAAAAACAGAGAAATGTAATACAATACACTATTAGACATTATTGTAACAAAAAAACATCCTTTGTGTTAGTGATTTTTTTAATCTTTTAGGCAGGAAATTCTTTTCAAATTTCGATTTTTTTTTCTGGGGGGGCCCAGACCCCCTGGAAGATTTGGTCCCCCCCAATCTTGACTCCATGGCTACGGCCTTGCCGTGAACCCTGCCCGTTGCTGCAGCTCGTCTCGTCTCGAACCGTGCCGCGACGTCTCCCACATCAACGGTTTGCGATTCGTTTTCAATCTGCCGCGCAGCGTGCCGATGATTATTTGGGCAGTCGCAAACCGTCGAGCAATCCGCAAGTTACAAGGAGGCGGCGAATTATTGGATCGTACATTTTTGTGTTTTCTGATGTTAACCATTATATATCTTCCCCAAAAGTTTTTGGGTGTCTTTTCGTCATAGGAAAAAAAATTATGGAGGCATCTGGACACACATGACACCCAAAGTGGGTGAGCATCCCTTACTGGTGTAAGTTTTTGTTTACATTGTTGTCCCTCTGCTACTGTGTGTGGCTGGTAAATGTTTCCGGAGTGTTCTATAACATTTAATAACCACGCTCTTGAAAGGATGGTCGAGAGTCTGTTTGAATGCCCTGCCTTGTTGATGATGGGTACAAACTGAGTAATCATTGGAAATATGTTATTAACCATGCAAAAAAGATTTAACTACACATTTTTGGACCATCTTATTTGACAGGTACTATTCTACTTTACCGAGTGTTGACATCCCCAGCGTTTAACAGTACTCTCCTTTTTTGTATTTGGATTGTCAACCAACACTGGGTAAAACAACATGTTCAAGTTCATGTATTAGGTGTAGCCCTGTGAGCCATTCGGCTCTTGAATCGGGTGCAACCGCAACAAACAAAAAACAAAAACATGAACAAAAACATCTTAAAGTGAATATGTGACTAAGTGCAAACAGAAAATCCAAGAAAAGACAGCAAAATATTGCTGTACACCAACGCTGTGTGCACCTGTTGTTCTCTTTTAGCCCCCCCCCCCCCCAATACGTTCCATTCATTGGCTACCACACTCAGATAAGCCCCTCCCCCCCTCCTCCCCCCTTAACTTGTATTTAAGAACTTGTATCTTGGAATTTTTGCCCCACTTGATACAGTAAATCTAGCTGTGACGGTCCCACCTGATGACGGAGACTTGTGTTGCCTCCGAAACGTCGTAATTTATCATTTTATTTCTACTATTATTTCTATTATTTTATTTTTTATTTTTACCTACGTGACTTTACCGAAAAAAACCTAAGAGTAGGAATCCTCTTTCTCAGCCATGAATTTCAACGCATATCTTTTGTTCTTGTCAAACCTGACGAGCAGGCAGGTTCTCGCTGGGCCAGAGAAATGGCCCAGCAAACGTGTTTTCATCATCAGCTTTTCTCTTTTCTACTCGTGCTAAAGAAGTGCTTTGACACATACTCTTAGTTCTTTCGGTAAAGTCACGTCGTGATTTTATTGCATTTTAAATCCTTTATATTAAGTTCACTTGCTTGCTTGCTTGCGCGCTTACGACCGTGCAAATCTTTCGGTCGTTTTTTAACCCACTTCCCGTTATCCAATCGAGCTGACATTTTGCACACAGACTCGTTGTGCGTGACAATTTATTTTCGTGAAATTTTTTTTCCAAAATGTTACACTTTTTAGGATTTTTTTTATATTTAATTACCAATTGCTTAATGGTGGCAGGCAATCATCTGACCCATAGGTTGCAGCCATCTCAAGCCAGAAGACGAGAGGACTCTAGCCACCACGCATATAAAGGATTTATAGTGAAAAACTTTGTTTTTACAGGTTAATTTTTTTTATTAATTTTAATTTAATTTTTTACCTACGTGACTTTACCGAAAGAACTAAGAGTATGAATCCTTGCAGTCACGAAAGCTTCAAATCTAGAAGTGCATTGACGCCACTAAATATCTGGCAGCCATAGGTAGCCCATAAATAATAGCGCTTGATGTTTATTTAATAGCCTCAGAAGTGTTGAAGCTAAGGTGGGCGGTGTTTGGGGGTTATCGTCTCATAAACTTACAATGATGAGATGGGTAGGACGATGGGGGCTGGTGGGTGGAGGTGATTAATCACGTTCCTAGAATTCACGCATGACACGGTGAGGGCAGTGGACAGGGGCGGGGGCAAAAAACTGTGACAAGGCAAGCATGCGATGAGCACGATATGGAACATTAACTGAGTTACATTTTTATCAAGAACCATTTATTAGCCGTGTATTGTTATTTTAATTATATATTATTTCACATGAAGGTTAGAGCGTACTTTTTTAGTGCGAGGATGTTGGTCCATTTAAGGAATATTTTAAATACCGTATTGGACCATCCTCTGGAAAACGCCCGGAAGATCATTGGGACTAACTTATAAGGAAGATAAGATGCAGAGCAGCAGTATTTCAAGGGCAACGTCTATTGGGTACTTGGGCAAAGGTTATCTTTCGCATGCGCGATTAATGTAATCGGCTCAATTTCATGACGTCCTTGCTTGGATTCAACAACGTCAACAATCATACTGTAGTTGTTCTAACGTTTGGATACCAATTAGCGAATTAAAATGCTAGCATTCAAGACTAACACAATCATAGCGCCGTTAATTTTTGTGGATCCTCTGTACGTAGACTCTGGAATTGCAATTTGCCTTCATTCCAGCTGCAGTGGGAGGGCGAGAGCGGAGAGAGAGGTCGTGTAAAGCATTCGCGGATCCGTGTTTGGGCACCACCTCGCTACTCAATGGTGTGTCAGGTGGCAGCGTGCATAAACACAAGGTCAC